GGTTTTTGAAATATCTTAAGTCTGCTCTTACAGGCATTTCCTTTCTTCTGCTTGATTGGGGCTTGCGTTACTCTTCCTTTTCCGGTTTCTTGAGGTGGAAGATTAGATAGCTGATTTGAGAAACTTCAGTTTTTCTATGTAAGCATTTGTGCTATAAATTTCCCTTGAAGCTCTGCATTGGCTGCATTTCTCAATTTTTGATATGTCATGTCTTCATGTTACCCAGTTTAAAATATTTCTTAAATTTCCATGGGACTTCCTCTTTGATCTATGGGTTATTTAGGTTTTGGGCTAATTTCCAAGGGATTGAAGATTTTTCTGCCATCTGTTATTATATCTAATTTCATCATGTCAGAGAATATAGTTTGTATGATTTTGATTGTTTTAGATTTGCTAAGCCTTTTTTTTTTTTTGAACGAGGATACGGTTTATCTTGGTATATGTTTCATGTGCCTTTGAGACTATATGGTTTGCTGTTGTTGAGTGAATGTCTTGTCAACGTAATCATGTCTGGTTGGCTGGTGTTATTCAGCTATTTCACATCCTTGTTGATTTTCTGTCCCCCAGTCTATCTTCTTGCTTACTCAGAGATGAATACTGATGCCTCCTGCTGTAATTGTGAATGTGTCTCTCTTCTCAGTTCTGTCAGCTTTTGCTTCAAATGTCTTGAAGCTCTGTTGTTAGGTGCATACCCTTAGAATGGTTATGTCTTCTTTTTTTTCTTTTTGAGTCGGAGTCTCACTCTGTTGCCCAGGCTGGAGTGCAGTGGCACACTCACAGCCACCCTGGCATTGACCCCACTGGGCTCCAGGGATCCTTCCAAGTAGCCGGAACTACAGGCGCACGCTACCATGCCTGGCTCATTTTTTTTTTAATTGTAGAGACGGGGTCTCACCAAGTTGCCCAGGCTGGTCTTGAACCTGCGGGCTCAGGCAATCCACTCGCCTCAGCCTCCCAAAGTGCTAGGATGACAGGCTGAGCCACCAAGCCTGGCCGGTTATGTCTTCTTGACGAACACCCCTCTTTATTCCCAGGAATTTTCTTTACTCTGAAATCAGCTTTGTGTGGTGCTAACGTAGCCACTCCCATTCTCTTTTGACTAGTATTTACACAGTACATGATTTTCCACCCTGCTATTTTTAATCTACTTATATCATTAAATTTGATTTCAGGCGTCTGGCCTCCAGAGCTGTGAGGAAGAAAATTTCCGTCGTGCGAGTCGCCCAGCCTGTGGTATGTGGTTACGACAGCCCTCGCACAGTCATGCACGCCGTCGCTCGAATCCGCTTCGGCTGCTCTCAAGATGTTTTCGGCTTCCAGCACTTCGACCGTTATGCGTCTGGGCGCGGAGGTCCTCAGGTTCATCCTGCGTAGGGATGCCTCCGTCTCTCAGTCGGCAGGCGGGTCCCTTCCGCCAGGCGTGCGCGGCTTTGGTCGCCACTGCTTCGGGCGTTTCTCAGCGCCACATCTTCCCTCTGCTTCGGAGCTCCACAGACACAACCGTCACGCCTTTCCTTGCCCCGTGGGCCCATCTGTTCTTCCAGTCCTCACTGCTCAGATCGGGCAGGCTCCGTGAGCCGGCTTCAGGGCCACCTCGTTCCCCCGTCGCCTCTGTTCTGCTACTCAGTCTGCTTGGCGGAGGTTTTCGGTTTTTTGATTCTGGTTTGTTTTTCGGTTCTACACTGGCCCGTGCTTCTCGTCTCTCCCATGTCCCTGCTGGTGCGTCTACTCTGATACCTCAGGACCTCACAAGGGCTCATCCGATCCCTTTACGGCCATCGTTTCGAAGTCTGCCCCATCACTTCCACGCCCCGTCTTCTGCCCTGGGGGCCAGCGGAGGGGCCTCTCCCTGCTGGTCAAGGTCGGCACAGTTCTCTGAGCGCCAAGTACTTCTGGGGTCGCGCTACTTTGAGTCTTACTTTGTGAGACTTGGGGTCTTGCTCCCAGCCGATCAGGAAGGTTGGCTTTTTAGCTCCAGCCTCAGCGGGCTGTGGGCCAAGGTCAGCGTCCTTCTCCAAGGGTTTGGGACGCTGCCTGGTCTGGCCGCATGCCCGCCCCCCAGTGGCGGGGCCGGAAAGGACAGTTCTGCCTCTGGTGAGTTATCGTGAGACGTGCGCGCGTGTACACACACACACACACACACACACACACACACACACACACACACACGCCTGGGCAGGGGATGGGGCCCATAACCCCTCCGGGTGGTTTCAGGCACTTTCCAGCTCCCTGGCTCCCCAGACCTCCCTTCCCAGCCCTCAAGCCGGAAGGAGGGGGTGACAGGACAGAGGCGAGGGAGACGTGCTGGGTGGGAGAGGAGCCGACCCCAGTGCCTGCAGGCGCCAGCACAGGGGCCGGGACGCTGGGGCCCATCCTGCCCTTTGCAGAGGCCGGTCTTGTGTCTTCCTCTCTCCTCCTCCAAGCAGGGAGCGCCAGCCGCCACGGCTCTTCACACTCCAGTTATACCTGCTCATCCTTCCCTCCTTGTGGGGGTTGCTTTGCTGCTTTCACAGCACAAGAGTCATGCCTGCTGCCCTCACGCACGCCCACGCCCTGCCGGGGCGGGATGCCCCCGTGCACCCCCCACACCTGGGTCTGTCCTCTCCAGGTGGCTGCTCTGCCGGCGCACATCTGGGTCCCAGGGCGGCCCTGGGCGACCCTGCAGGGTTGTGGGGCTAAGCCTGGACACGAAGGGCAGGGCGCCCACTCTCTCTGCCCCCGAGAGAGCGAGGCGGCCGGGTGCGGGGCGGAGCAGGACAGATGGGCGAGCCCCAGGCACCCAGGCCTTCTGGGTCAACATGAGGCGTGTCCAGGCAGGTGGACGCGAGACACTGCTTACCAGTTGGCAGCATGACCTGGTTGCTTCAAGCCGATGGCATCTGTCCTCCCCCTTCGCCCGAAGTCTGTGAGCAACCTGCTCCGTCCCCAGGACGGCAGCCCCCCATCCACCTGGTCACACCTGGATTAGTGGGCACTACACAGCGGGCAGTGGACATTCTCACAGAGGCTGGGGCCCAGCGGGCACACAAGCTTATCGATTATGGTTTTTTTTTTTTTTTGAGTTGGAGTCTTACTCTGTTGCCCAGACTGGAGTGCAGTGGCCGCTCCTGGCCACCGCAGCCTCAACCTGCTGGGCTCCAGCGATCCTTCCGCCTCAGCCTTCCAAGTAGCTGGAACTACAGGCGCGTGCTACCACGCCCGGCTAATAATTTTTTGATTTATTGTAGAGATGAGGTCTTGCCAAGTTGCCCAGGCGGGTCTCGAACCCGCAGGCTCAGGCACTCCACTCACCTCAGCCTCCCAAAGGCGCGGGATGACAGGCTGAGCCACTGAGCCCGGCTGATTACGCTTATACTAAAAGCCTTTGGCCATCCACTGGACATGCCCTGCATGTTCACAGGCACAATGTGTTCATTTCTTAGTTCTTACCCAGCCTGGGCAACTTGGCGAGAGCTTGTTTCTACAACGCATTAAGAAAATTAGCCGGGCATGGGGGCACACGCCTGTAACTCCAGCCACTTGGGTGGCGGAGGTGGAAGGCTCGCCAAAGCCCAGCAGGTTGAGGCTGTGGTGGCCGGGAGCGTGCTCCTGCACTCCAGCCTGGGCAACAGTGAGGCTCCAGCTTGAAAAAACAAGAAGCAAGACACAAAAGCTCTTGCCAAGCCAGCATTCACGGGAAGCCGGCTGCCGCTTCCCTCGGCGGGGTGGAGACTGCCTTCGCGGAGCATCGGCCGCCGTCTCCCCGGGGACCCTCTTCCGCCTTCGCACATCTTGCCCTGCCGGGCTTTGTCTTTCGCGGCCTCCGCACAAGCTGAGTGTGAAGGGCCCCAGCGCTTCCCTCCTCCGCTTGTGTCGCCAAGATCTCCTTCCGGACTGTCGGGTGCCGCCCATTTTCGAGTTTCAGTTGAGGCAGGGCAGGCAGGGGCTGGAGTGGCCCGAGCCTGCCTTGGCACCGCCCCCATGCCCTGCCCGTCAGCCTCGGAGCGTGGCCACCCCCTCCCTGTTTGGTGCTGGGTTCGTGCTGGGGCCTTGCAGGCTTGGGATGTCACTTTGGTCAGGGGCATGGGAGTGCCACCTCACGGCCACACGGAAGACCTCCCGCCCTGCCTGCCTGCCAGGCCTGAGCCTACAGAGACAGAGGCGGGCAAGGTGGCGTCCTGTCCCTGCCAGCGGGCCCACCCGTGAGTTGTTTCAGGCTTACAGGTTCAGGACCACAGACACTTTGGTGTGCCTTCTGAGCCGACAACGTGCGGCGTGTGATCACAGGCTGTCCGGCTTGGAGGGAGCCACCCGTGGCCTGCACGGTGGCGTCAGCAAAAGCCAGGCAGTGGTGACCTGATGCGTGGCCCCCACTCCCGCCAGGACCGTCCGGAACCCCTGGGAGCAGCAGAGGCGGCTACCGGGCGGCGTGACCCCAGCACCCAGGGCCTCCACCCGCCGGGCCCTGCCCACGCTGCGCCCAGGCCACCCCACCCTGAGTGGTGGCGAACGGGCCCAGCTGTGACCTGCCGCTTCAGCTCCCACCCGGGAAAGGAACCACCCGACAATGTGGGCCTGACTGACCCTGGGGACGCCTGCGGCTGAGCCATCTGGCCCTGCGTCTCCCCTGGCCTTTAGCTGACCACACACACGGGCGGACTGAGGGCGGGCAGCCCTCTGCTGGTTCCCGGAGCGGGTGGAGGCGGCAGGGGACAGCCTGTCTGCTCTCGCCGCCAGACCCCTCGGCCCCTTCCACAGCCACCCCCGCCCCCACCCGCTCTGGGAGCCCCCC